GCCGCCGCCGCGGCCGAGGAGCGGCTCAGGAGCGAAGAGGTGAGCGCGGGGGGCGCCGGGCGGCTGGCCGGGGGACTGCAGGGCGAAAGGCCCGTGCGCCTCTGTCCCGGGGCAGGAAAGAGTCTTGTTGCGCTCGGAGAGGCTTTCGGGGCGCGTTGGCTCTGCTCGGGGCATCTTTCTAATAAGCGCGTGCGACAGGAGGGTCGTTGAACTGCAGTCCTGTCTAGAGCTCGCTTCCTGCCAGGTTCCACCATGCTCAGACCTAAGGATCCTCGTTCAGAAGAGCAAAATGAACTCGCTTCAAAGGAAACACTCTCTTTTAAAAGCTCTTGTGGGACAGTGGTAACTTCACTACAGATGCATGAGGTGACTCATAAGCTCTGGGTTACATTTAGTTCTAAATGTATTACTGGCATTTCACTTCTGACTGCAGTGAAAGGCTTTTTCTCCTGAACCAAATAGCAGGCTGCAAGCACATGCAATTTTCATCAAGGGTGCCATTAGGGAATACATTTGAAATGAAGAGATAAGGAATCCCTGGAAACATATTTTAAATCATGTGTAGTTTAGCCTTAGAGAAATGAGGAGGATGAATTGCCAGCAGGATTTTAATGGAGCCCTGTCAGTATACTTATTTCTGCATAAATGCAGAGCGCTAGTCATGATGTTTCCTTTTGGGGCAACAATATTATGCAAAGTACAGAAAAAATAAGCAGTAACCAAAATAAATTAGGGTCCACTGGAGTTGGGTGGCCAATAAATTTAAAATAATAATAATGGCAAGAGATAAGTGAAAAAAGTAAATAAAATCTAATGAAAGTTTTTTTTTACACAAATAGCATTCACTACACCTCTTTATACCTTTTTTTTCTTAGCTCCTCCTGTGTCCATACACTGCCTTCTACATTACCTTTTGTTCTTTAATCCTACTGTATTCAACTTTTCTGTTTTTTGACATAACCAGCTCTCACTTTTGTATAACAAAATGGTCAGAAGCATGTTCTTATATGGAATCATTTTTCTTCTGACAAGCATTCATCCTTGTCACAGACCATATACTTCCCATGCCTTTCTATTAAGTTTTCCTTAAAATGTCTCCATCCATTTTCTCACGTTTAATAAACTTTCTACCAAAGTATGCAAATTTCATCTACTTATTCTTTTTTTTCCTGTAATTTATCTAGAGCTTGCACTTGTTTAGTCCATTTTCCCTGTCAAACACCTTGGTCTTTGATACATTATTAATTGTACATCCATATTCCTTGCTACATCATACAGTGTAACATTTGCTGCACCTTCTCTGGATTCTCAGTCAACAACTTTATCATCTGCATATAAAAGTACAAACACATTCATGTAATCAGTGACCCATGCCAAACAGCTGTTGGCCACACTTGATATCTGGTCTTTACCACAGGGAAGTGGTCTAATACCAGGAGACTTTTCCATCTGTTGCTTGTCACAGACAGACCATTCTTCATGACAAAGAGTTTAACTAGGGCTGCTAACCTCCACAGGGAGAAAGCACTGATTTAAGATGACCTGCCTCAGGTGCTTGAACCTATAGGGTTTCCAGATGGCATTTGGGGAATTCCCCAACAATTAGGGCAGCTCTGTTGAATGTATTGTTACATTCTTGAATATGGAGTTGACAAGTATACTAGATAGGGCTGCTCCTGAGAGTTGATGAGTTTTGGGAGATTAGGCAAGTAAAGAGATACACAGAGTAATGTGGGAGAAAATGAGGTGTGAATATGGCTGGCCATAGGCATGAATATAAATTTGGTGGTGATAAGGGCAGTGAAGCAAGATTACATTTCTGTCAGATGGGTGGCATATGAATATGATAAAATAAATAAATTACTTCCCACCCTTGTTGTGTCTGCAGAATCTTTGCCCACTGCAGTATTCAGAGTGTCCTGAGCAATTATAGAGAAGTACAGCTAGTTCCTGCTGGGAAACTGCAATTACCTGGCAAACGTTGCTCATTTTTGTTCTCTTTGAAGCTGGGTGGATAGTACCTTAAAATGTTGCAGAAATGACATCTTTTATTTACCTGAGTGGGTTTTGAGCCTGTGGAACTTGAGGAAGTGAGAAAGTTGTTGAGAAAATGTTGGAGCAACAATTAGAAAGTGCTCTGGAAGATATGGGATATCTGGCAGCTTGGATTCATGTCCTAGCTATAGGAGAGAAACTGCACTGATTGTTCTTATGGTTGACTACCATGGCTGCCCTTATCCCGCTGAACCTCTCAGTGACCTTCAATACTGTCAGCCACAGGTTTCACTGGGCCATCTGTGAGGGTTGGGAATTGGAGGCACTGTTTTGCAGTGGTTCCACTCCTATTTGAGTGGGTGGATCTATTCACTGGTGGCAGGAGGAGAGGTTGGCCCCCAATCAGTGCATTATGGGGTGCCCAAAGTCCTTTCTACAGTCCTATCTCTTTGAAGTTGCTGGGAATTTGAGGGAGCTATCATCAATATGCAAATGATTCCTAGCAATAGTTCTCCACCCTGAGCCAAAAGGTCCTGGCTTGGTGCTTGGAGTCTGTCAGGGCCTGGATAGGAAAAAAGGTTCAGACTTAACCCAAGCAAGATGGAGTGGATGTTAATTCAGAAGCCTTTTGAATCCAGGATAATATCAAATTTGACTCTTAGTGGAGTTATGCTTACCCAGATAGAGCAGGTCTACAACTTCAGAATTCTTTTGGATTCATAGTACCTGCTGCAAAAGCAGGTGGAAGCTGTAGCCTGGATGGTCTTTTGTTCAGCTCCATTTGATGCACAAGTTGTAGATTGGATTACTGTAATTTGTTCTCACCTTGAAGACCACCCAGAAACTTCAGCTTTCTAAAATGCATCAGCCTATGTACTTAGTGGGCAGTCTAGATGCTGCAATGTTACACTACTGCTCTGAGAGCTGCGTTGGTTACTGGTGTGTTTCCTGAGTGCAGTTCAAGATGTTGATCATTAAAGTTCCTTTTCGTTTGGAGCCTGGATATCTAAAAGATCTCATTTTCCAATTAGAGACAATTCTGATGACTGAGGCAGATGCTGAAGATCCCTTGCTATTGCAAGGTATGATAGGAGTGGTCTGATGAAGGGCATTCCTTGTGGGGCTCCTTTCCTTTGGAAGAGCACATGTTCTGGTGTAGCACATTTTGGTTTTAAATTAATATTGTAATCAAGAAAAATGCCAAAAGCAAGTGAAGGCTAGATTGACAAAAAAGTAAAATTGAAACTGCGAACTGTTTTGTTGCTTTTGCTGGAAGGGTGTGGAAGGTACATAATCTAATGAAGATAATGTCAAGAGAAGTACAGTATTGCTTCTGGGCCAAGGTTCAGTGGACAACACCCTGTTAAAAAACAAGCCTTCTGTTATTCAGGTAGGAAATCTGGTTGATTTACATTGCCTTCAGGCTGTAGCAAATGGCAAAGTTATCTTGCTTAGTTATATTTCTGGAGTCCATTTTTGCAAATCCAACCATAGTCCAATTAGATTCTGCAAATCCAACCATAGTCCATAATCAAAGCAGTACGATGGCAGACAAAATCAAAATAAGTGTAGTCAGATAAAATTTACCAGAACCTGGACAGAGAGAGCTCTGAAGATTAAGTTTTATGTCTCCTCTGTTAACATACCATTGATCTCAGAAAATTGCTGGAAAGGGTGTGGAAGGTGCTGAATACAAGTAAAACAAAAATGTATTAATTATAAATATTTATAATACACTACCACTAAATGTGCCCAGAGCCAGGTAATTGTTAGTATATATGTCTCTTTTGTTTCCTCACAATATCCCTTCCTGGTCATTTTTACAGATTGTGACAGATTCACCAGAAGTAATCCAAGCTTTTCAAGTCTGGTGCCCTCCAGATGGACTTGGACTACAACTCCCATAATTGCCATCTAGTATGGTTACCACTCTCACTAGGAATTCTTAGACTGAGAGTCTTAACAAATTTATCTGGAGATCACCATTCTAGGTTAAGTGGATATCATCTTACGCAGGAGTGGATAGGCTATAAATGTTATGCAAGGTTGTTTGCTTTCATCAGATAAAGCAAATCTGCTCAGCAGTATTTCTATATTCATTGATGATAGAACTTTAAATAAATGTGTCAGCCTCTCAAAGGATCAGGGCTCGCTGACTGAGCTGAAACTGCCATATTAAAAGTGGCAAAATATTTTCTTATCTTAGGAGACATTGTGATGTCAGTTAATACATTATTTCATGTCGATTATCTTTGTAAAGTTCATATGCAACAGCATTCTTTATGCATCCATTTGCAGTGCCGGCCCCATGTTGGCAACCAGAGTTGTATTTATACCGTTTGGGAGGCAACTTGGCCAGTTTTAGAGAAAGTTCTTTGAATGCTTTGTTTCTTGTCATCAAATATTTGCAGTCAGTAGGGTTACTGTAATCTAAAATTGTGGTTTGCAGTTACCTGAACTGCAGAGATCAGAAAAGCTGAAGGCCTTTACCTCCATTAATATCTGTCCTTTCTGTGGTTGAGCTGTGGTAAGTGAAAAATAGGGAACAGTTG